TTTTTTTTTAAATATATTTTATCATTTCTATGAATTTTTGCCCAAAGAATAGCAAAAAATATGTATGAAAGTTATTTTCCATTGAAAATTTAAACGCCAAAAATCATAATAGTCTACAGGAGAAAATTAAGTTAAAAAAATGAAATTTCAAAATTTCACTAATCTTCTTGATAGAATTACACTTCGTGCAGGCTTTCCCAAACGTGTACTTTTTCGTTTTGTATCAGAATTGAGCTAAAAATAGTAGTAATATGAAAGTAATAATTTTTAACACTATAAATTGACAATGTTTTATCAGTCATTCTGAGCTAGCCTACATCAAATAAGGTCAATAAGGTCATGGGAAAGCAAATAAGCAATGGCTTTCATGAACAAATTACTCCATAAATGTACTAATAATGAATGATTTAATTATGATAATTTGCTAACTTTATTAAATTGTTTCTTTCCAGCTTGTAGCATTTGTTCTTTGGTCATTTTTTCATAAATACTTGTTCCACGTCCTCGAGCTAACACTGAATCATCTTGCGTACTTTGCGTTACGACCATTTGATAGGTATTATTACTTCGCGCACTACTTCCTTTTTCCGTTTGAGTACTTTTTATCGACAATAATTCATTTAATTGCTAAATTTAAAAAAAAAAACTTCTAATTTCTTTTTTTTTCACTTTCGAATTTTAATTACTCATTCTAATGTTTTGCCAAATGTTAACTTGAAATTTATAGAAATTCACAGTTATTTCCTGAGTTTTGTCAAGCATCATTTCTTTGCATTCCTCTGGTTTCTTGCATGAGCTTTGCTGAAAATCGGAATTTAAAATCTTTTTGAAAAATCTTTTCGATTATAAATCCTGAAAAATGATATGTGATATCAAAATTATATTAATAATTCCGCCGAAAAACAAATAAATAAAGCAATAATGATTATTCTAAGCATTACTGCACACTTTCAAGAAATTATTAGAACTGAATTTAATTATTTAACTTGAATAGCTAGCAGTAAATAAACATCAAAATGATTGAATAGTACAGTAGGTCAATTATCCGATATCATATGATAACATATAATTGTGTCTTTCTTTAAACTTACAAGGTATTGGATTAATTATTTTTGATCAATAATTTGATAACGAAATTTTTGGAAAAATAAAAAATTCGAAAAACAACAATTAGTTAAAGTTTATTGAAGTTAAGATTAATTTATGCTTCTAATTTATTATATTATCAAAAAAAAAAAAATTATTGGATGGTGGCGACATTTCAGATTAAATGGTGGTAACATTTAAAGTAAATGATAGTGACATTTTTTTTTCTTTATCCAATCAGAAAACATACAGTACTGCTAAATATGATTGCACTTTCAGTTTTTTCGATATCTTTTGTTGATTTGTTTTTTCTCATTTTATTTGATTTATCCTTCTTTTTGTAGCATACAAAAACAACGGATGGTGTTGTACAAACCACTAAAATACTGGTATAATTTTCTAAAACATTTAATAATATCAACGATTTCATCATTTAGTAATACTATTAGTGAATACTGTACATGCTTTATTTTTCATTCCAAAACATTACGGTAATATCAGTACTACCATTATTGAGTACTCTACATGGTTTATTCTTCATTCCAGTACATTACAGTAGTATCAATACTGTCATTATTGAGTACTGTACATGAATTATTTTTTATCTTAAAACATTACAATAATGTCAATACAATAAAGTAACTACAGTCGAATTGTATTAATATGATTATCGCTTACCTGATACAATGAAATAGTATATGCTATAAGACATTGGATTGAATGATCGATGAATAACCAACCACTAATTCTAATGATAAATATAAAATAACTTTACATTTAGTTTCCTTTTCTTCTTATTTACAGTTGTTTAATTTAAAAATTAAGATATTCAATTTTTTTTAAATTACAATTATATTTTGCATATTAGCAGCATAAAGTGTTTATATTGTATTTCATTTCGGATATTATCTTTTAAATTCTAATTTGTGATAAACTGTATAACATTGTTTATTCTATACTTGTTTACGGTACTGTTACTAACACGAACACGAGCCTATGTGAAGTTATGGACAATGAGCCGAGTTATTTCATTCATCGTAGCATGTAAAATAGAATTTCGTAATGTCCTCTTGGCTTAGGAGTGAGGTTATTTGCTGTTACTTTGAGGGTGTTACATGGTATAATGGTGGTCATTAGTGGATGGTTCTGTTTTGATGGCTTTCGAGTTTTTACATGAACTTCCAAGAACTTCACATTCAATATCATTCAATCCATGTAATTCTGTAATCTCGAGTAGACTGCTATAGTACAGAACCTTAAAGATTGAAGATGAAGCAATGATGCGACACAGACTAATTAATGAGTGAGAATAAGAAGAATGCATGATATGACATTGTGATGTAGAGTTGGAAGAAAATTTTCAAGTAGTCAGTACATCAAAGTTGAAACGAGGGGAAGAAAGGGTGAGGAATATGGTGGATGTTGCATGTGCATTGTTCAGCATCATTTAATCATTTAATTAATTAATTAGCTGGGGAAAGGAAGTGAATAGTGGGAAGATGGATAACAATTGCAGCTTACTTCATCCAGTTTTGACATTGATCTAAAACTTGTTACCTGACTGATCTCAAACTTACTGCCCACTCAGTAATATTAACTGGCATTGTTCCTTTACTGTGATATTAAATAACGTGTAGCTGATGTGGTGGGAGTAAGACCCTTTATTGAATAATTATATCTTCCTTTGTGTAAGATCCAGGAACTTGTGCTTTTATGGCCATTTGTTAAATTGTGCAGGTCATCAGAAATGGTCTCTACTTAAATGATTAGTAGGTTTTCGCTCATGACAGCTCTTGAGAATTTGCAAAATTTCTATTCGGAAGAACAGTGTATAAACTTCGTTTTCTATAGTAATATGGTAACTATAGGCTGCTTAATGGATGGCCGAAATGGGAAAGCCAAACGATGTTTTCAGAATAAGGTTCATTTGGGATTTCCCAGTACGTCCATGTTTGATAGGTCAAACAGAGATACGTTGAATTAAACGACTGATAAGTTCGATGATTAATGTCTGAGTTGTGGTGCTCTCGATTTTAAAGAAGTGATAATTTAAGACGTAAAAGAAGTGGTAGGTGTCATCAAAGGAAAGATTAGGGGAATTGTAACTCTTTGCTTTATTTCATTTCGGTAAAGCATTAAATCCTAGTTCATATCAATAAATTTTGTTTTGCAGACCGTGCAGTATGTATAATGGTATTGGATTGCAAACTGCTCGTGGGTCGGGGACAAATGGATACGTGCAAGCTAATTTGGCTAACCTGTTGCTCTCGAAGGTTTCATTTTCTAAATCGTCAATAATTTTTTTCGCAGCTTCTAGTGTAGCATTATTTCGACCTGATTTACTTTCATTATAAATACATTGTTTCTGATCAAGATTTAAAAGGTGCATAAGATGATAACGTGCTTGATTTTTGTGTTGAATGCTTCCGTCCAGAATTTTCTGAACTGTTTTCATTTCCAGTTCTTGATCATCTTCATCGGCTTGTAAATTGACTAGTTGTCTTCCTATTGCCAAACAGATTTTTGGCAAGACGAACCGTGCATGTGGTAAGTTGAGAACCGAAAGTCCAAATAATTCTTTTTTGAAGACGACAGGAGTTTAGCAGCCATCCAATTTTATTCATTCAAGAAAGAATTTCACTTCAGAAACGAGTGGCATATAATTCGGAAGCTGATATTAAGCGAGCCGAGGCTGAAATCAACAAACAGCCGAACAAAGAACTGTTGGAACATAATCGCAAACGCCATATCGAATTGAAATGCGCCGATTTCGAAATGCTCATGGAAAATAAAGTAAGTTCATCTTCAAAATAACTTGAGGAGCTTTGCAAAATACCAAAATCAATTTTCGTTTTTTTCTTCGTTTTAAAAAAGAATTTGTTTCATGAAGTAAAATTTTGATTCTTTTTGTCATTTCATAATGAAAATTGACAACTGTCTTATATACCTTGTTACGATTTAGCACAGAAGATAAAGTAATATGTGTATAGTGAGTCATATTGCCAAAATATACCAAAATAGCTGATGATCTAAGGTTGGCTTATTATGTCGAAGAGGCCTAGTCACTGTCATGTTAGAGCATGTTGTTTTTGATAGATATACAATATTAAACGGAATGGTCTTATGTTTGCGATATTCTTATGCATAATAAAACATTGTTTAGTATGAGGTTCTCTTGTACAAAACGAATTTATCTTCTTAAACGCTCTTTTTAGTTTCGAACTCAAATGGGTTATTTATAAGTCTTAAGGATCATTCGAAAACGTCAAAATTTTAAACATATGCACGTTATTTGTAGAGATTTATTGCCAATTTGTCTATTTTAGGGATTGGTTCCTTATCTATGTTCTCACCAAGTTTGAAATTTGGTTTCAAATTATGATATTTTCGTGAGTCATAGATTTTCGAGATTTCCAGGGATTTGATGAAGCTGAAATCCAGAAAAAAGTGAATGAGTATCGGAAGCTTCTTCAAAGTCAAGTGGCATCAGGAGAACTGGACATAGATGCAGAAATGGACAGTCGAGATACGCATGTTCGTGCAAAGGCTGCTATTGAGAATCGTGTTCGTATGCGCTCTGCTCTTGGGATTAAAGATGATTTTATCGATGGAACATCTTTTGAAAAGTTTGTTTTGTTCTTTTGATATTTTTCTCTGCTTTTTTTAATGAGAAGCTTCAGTTCAAACTTTCATGTGACTCCCCACAATGAAAATTATATTCACTCTAGTAGAGTTTACTTTTTTTTTTTGATTTTACGACTTTATTAGCAACACTTACTGGTTGCTGAAAAAAGACTTAACCTTTCAATCACAATTTTTTTCTAGTTTGAAGCACTGTTGTTAGATTTGCACTGCAGATACTTTAACAGTATTCCATTCCACTGGAGAAAGATTTCCCATTCCACTTCCACTTTCTTTTGTTTTGCCTCAAACGTTGAACTTGTGTAAACAAAAGGAATCAAAAATTAGTTCTTCAGAAATGGGATATATATTGCATATAGGATATATATTGTAAAGGACATACACTGCAAATAATAAATAATTTATTGATTTTCAGCTTAAACAAAAATGTAGACTTGAAAGTAGACGAAACTGAAGAAGACGATGGTAAGAAAAAGAAAAAAAAGGGTGACGAAGTAAGTTCTTGTTCTCCGAGGTTTTTGTGCATGTAATCTTTTTTCCGTAAAGTCTTTCCGTATTTGCATTTATATGCTAGATCGGAAAATTATGTCTATATGCTAGATCGGAAAATTATGTCAAGTGGCATTCGTTATTCCTTCATGTTATTTCCTCATTCTTGATGGATTGTTGAGATGGTCTTTTGATTTTGCAATACCCTCTATTTCGTTATGGAGAATTATGGAAATGGTTTAATTTTTTTGAGGGTAGCTGCTTATGGACGAGTTTGTTTTTGATAGTTATTGAGCAACTTTCTGTTGTTGTTTTCAAGTTAATGTTTCTCAGATGAAAAAAAGTGGGAAAGTGCGAAAAGCAGCATCATCGTCGTCATCCTCTTCGTCGTCATCATCTGAGGAATCATCATCCGATGACTCCTCGGAATCAAGTTCAGACAGTGACGATAGTTCAACGAATTCAGTTGAGGAATCTAGCGAGAGTGATTCAAGTGAAGTATCAGAAGCTGAAATACAAAAAAAGTTAAAAACATATCTCGTGATGAAAGAAGTTTATCGGGAAAGACCCGCGAATCGTAAGTTTCTTTTTTTCTCTTCTAGATGAATATGTTGTCAGCATTGTGATACTTGCATAATGTATTTTGGAAGTTTTTGATACATTACTGATAATCTCATATAGCAGTGATTTCAGCGACATGATCATCTCTATTTGAATACTTTGTTGAAGCGGGTACCTTAAAATCAGAATTTATTCATTTATGCTACTGGTTAACTGTTTTGGCAAATGTTGAATCTTATAATTTTAACTAGCAGACGTTTGCATCGTCACGAAGTTCGACATTCATGTGACCAACGCAATGATGACAATAGTGGTGGTTTTTCTGATCGTGAAAGGCACCGCAAACGTGATTCACCCGATTATTACGACCGTTTTCATCGTCATCAGCGTCACAGTGATGATCACTTTGATTGTCGAAGGTAATGCAGCTTCCTTTCCTTGATTTAGGCAATAAAATGATCCATTATTATCTGCAGTGCTGAAAAATGTTATTTTTGATTATTACTGTTTTTCTTAAAACCTTAACTTTTAACTTTATTTACCGTCACTATGTGAGCTACCATATGAAGTCTTTATCCTTATCACCTTTCTTTCAATTCAATAATTTTTTTATGGATAACAGATCTGGTCGATCACACGGATATGATGATGGAGGACGACGTTACTGGTACTCTCGGCGTAACGATCGTCGAGATGATTGGTATCGTCGAAATAATTCAGGAAGTAAGATGTTTGATTTTTTAATGAGGGGTCATGGGTTTATGATAATGTTAATAGGAATTCTTAAATTAAATAGATTTAAAAGCATGCTGTATATATGTTAGTTTTGGTATAATGTCGAGTACACATAAATTGAAGGCCAGAAATGTATGAGGAGAAATGGTGCAATAATTTAGTTGAGAATGTTCCATATTGTTCGTTTTATTCCAAACGAAAGTAATCGAGATTCTTGTTAGTAGGTGATCGACATCGGAAACGTGATCGTGACGGAAAAAGATATCGTGAGGAAGAAAAACGTTCGCGTCGCAGTTATCACTACTCTTCAAATTCCGATACTGACCGCAAACGAAAACACAGTATGGCAGATCATAGTGAGGATGAAGGTCGGAGACGATTGAGAAGGCATAGTTCGAGTGTGGAAGAAAAAAAGCGTCGCAGGTCGAAATTGAGGGAAGTCATTCCAGATACAAAAGATATAAAAGTAGAACCTGCATTAAGTCCTCATTCCGACAGCATGCAAAAAATTTCTCCCTCGATTGCACCAACATTCCTTGAGGAATCGAATCGCAATATTAGAAACAGAACTCCAGTTTTGGAATCCAGTACTGCTGAAATAGCTTTGCCGGAAAAACAACCTATGGATAGCGTTAAGATGGAAATTGACTCTAATGACGATAAAGAAGAAGTGGAACAAAGCTCAGGGCACAAATGTTGCAATTCAACGGAGATGCACGATAGTTCAGAGAAAAGATATCGTCATGATACTCCAGAATCTGGTGATAGAAGCCGCAGCACTTCTAGTTCTAATGACGAATTCCTGCATCATTCAGGTAGCACACACAGTTCTACCACAACATCAAATGGCGGCGCAACTGAAAATATTTTGAATGGAAATTCAGATGAGGTACACTCACCTTCCCATTCCCCTGAACCAACGTCAGAAACAAAAGACCGGGGTAAGAAGTTGGGAAGTCAGGAAAGGAAAGTTCATTCACCAGGAGATAAACATGGAAAATCTGATTCTGATATGTCTGCGCGAAAGCAATCATCACTTAGGGATTCTGTTGATGACAGCTGCAGACGACATGGATCAAAAGGAAGTTTCCCGAAGAGTTCACATCGCCATGTTTCGAGTTTAGAATCTGATCATGATTGTTCGGAATCTGGTAAGCGGAGAGATCGTCTCTCAGATAATGCTCGCAAACACAAAAAACATTATGCAGAGTCAAGTGAATCCAAATTTCGCTGTTCGGAAAATCATGAATCCAGACATCGCGGCCGTCATCGTTCGACTTCTAGTAGTCGTACTCGCAAATTATCAAGACGGAAATCACATTCCAATGATTCATTACGTAAAAGACATCATGAAAGTAGATCCAGAAGTCATCATTCCAAGCATCAAATAAGCAGAAACCGTAGTCGATCACGACACCATCGTAAACATTCTAGTGAAAGCCGAAGAAGTGTCTCTCACAGTGCTCGCAAATCTACAAGTGCTTCGTCTCAAAAGCGATCATATTCCCATAAAAATAGTCACATGAAATCTGAAAGCACAGAAAGCACTAGTGAAGAAGAAGTGCGTATTAGACGTCGTCGACATGATACGTCCAGTTCGAGGGATGAGGAGGATAGCGACAGTTCTCGTGGCAGGCGATCTCATCGTTCCAGTGGAAGCAGCAGTAGTTCCTCAAGCAGTAGTCAAACATCGGTAGAAAGAACTGGCAAACACTCGAATGATTCTGGAAAGAAACGACATCACCGACGTTCACCCGCACTGCGTGAACCAATTGATGAAAGTGACTGATGAAATCAGAGATGTTAGTTCTCGTTATTTCCTTTTTTAAATATTTTAAATTATGATGTTAAAGATTAAAAAATTTTTCAACAATTGTTACTGCTTATTGCATATTCTTTGATTATGTTAAAAAAAAAAAGACTTGTATTTATCTTTTGCAGTTGGAATTGAAATTTATATAATTTTGGCTTGGTTTGTTTCATCTAACTGATAGTCTCTTCATAAAAGTTTTGTGTGTTAGCAACCTCATTTTATTTAATATACAACACAAAAAACTGAAGGTTAGTATCAAAATTGCATCATTCTTAATCAAAAGGATGATGCAATTTTGATATTAACAATTTTGGTACTTATTCACCAATATATAGTTATGAAATACTGTAGACCTCTGAATAAAAAACTTTGTCATTTCCAGCAGTCCACTAATCTGATCTAAAAAATATTCTTATGTTTTCTTCAGGAGGATAAAGCGAATGTGATGTGATGGGAAATACACTTAGCGAGAAATGTAAACAGTCTGCAATTGTTTGATATACACTTATCTAGATATATGTTTTAGTCATAGTCCTCATTCATTTTGGTTACATTTTCTAGCTAATTTTTTCAATGATGTTTTTTTTTTTTTTGCTCTTTGCAAATTGTCTGAGGTTTACTGATTTGATGCAGTTTTTCAGTCGAGTTGCGTCTGTGGTTTAGATCTCCATATCCTTAAAAATTTGACTGCGCTGAGATTTATCACCCCACTTCTCCCAAATTAATTTTCCATCACCACTGGAAAAGAAAGAAATCAATCGGCGTATTTTCTTAAACATATAGTTTAGCTATTGGATTGTCTGATTTCGGCAGTTGCTGCCAGAGGACATTAACACTCAAGAACATCCCATCTTTCAGCGATACTATTATAAACTGCGATTCTCTGAAATGTGTTTTGATCATAGCACCTATATTTTGAGTGTGTGACAAATCAAGCGCAGCATCAACTTCATCCAGAATGTAAATTGGAGCAGGTTTGAATTTCAGCATTGCCAATACTGATATATCCGGTTGGAACAATATTTTTATTTGTTCAACTTTGCGCCATTTACAAGAATTATATTTATGAACGCCGGGGCAAATAATTCATACTAATGACGCTTAACAATGAAGCAATGTCCCGGAAGTACAAATAAAATATATACAGTCTAGTCGTACGGCAATGAATGAGCACTTTTCAAAAGTTCTCGTGCGTTGTTTCCGTTAAAATACATTTCTGAATGCAAAGCATCTCTATGCCTGAAAAATAACATTTGCACAAAAACACTCCACAAACAACATATTACAAAGATCATTTGTTAAGATTAGGAAATAGAAAAAGTGGACAAATCGATTGTTTCCATTTGCAGCTTTCAAACTACGCTGGAAAAGGAAAATTTAAGTGGCCAAAAGAAAAGTAATGCTCTTTAATCAGTTTAATTCGCATAACCTAAAGGTACGATATATTAAAAATACTAAAAATTCCCTTTTGGACTTTAACAGAGGTGACAATAATTTCCATTTCTCACTTCAGATGATGATCCAAATAATTAACTATTACTGAGATATGTAATATTTTGTTTGTGGAATGTTTTTGTGCAAATGTTATTTTTCAGGCATAGGGATGTTTTGCTAGTTTAGCTTTATACTTTGCATTCAGAAATGTATTTTAACGGAAGCAACGCGCGAGAACTTTTGAAAAGTGCTCATTCATTGCCGTACGATTGGACTGTATATATTTTATTTGTACTTCTGGGACATTACTTCATTGTTAAGCGTCAGGAATTAGTACGAATTATTTGCCCCGGCGTTCATAAATATAATTCTTGTAAATGGCGCAAAGTTGAACAAATAAAAATATTGTTCCAACCGGATATATCAGTTGCAAACACCACTATTATCCGATCACCTCATAGAACTTCAATTAAACAATTTTCAAATGCATTCTCAATGCTTTTGTATTAATTGCTATTATGCTAGCTCAGGAGTAGAAATCCTTAAAACATAGCTGCAATTGCAGTTGTCTCAATTTACATAACAGATTGAAATACGTAATGATGAGTTTTCCTTCATGTTTTAATATTTTGTTTTTAATATTTAATGGTGATAGCTTCTGGATTTCACCTTACCTTTACTGTTTAACAAATTGCAATTACTGTCATTGTTTTGAACTTGTGTCCGATTATCTCATTTCTTTGTTTTCTTATGTTATTGGGAATTTTTTCGAAGGCAGCAATTTTGTAAGGAAAATTTTCCTACCGGAAATTTGTTTTACAAGTGGAAGAATAACTTTTGGTGAATGGTAATAGTAAAAATTTCATAGGGTTATAATGCTTTTCGACTAAATCTATCCTTATTCAATTTCCCCATTTTGCAATTTTTTGATTTTATTCTGATCGATTTTTCCACTGTTCTTCCTTGTCACTTTTTCTTTTTTTGTTTGTCGCGTTTATGTTTTATGAGAAATCTGTTATGAATAGATTCATTTATCGTCGCAATCATCAATTTTTCTTCTATTTTCATTTTTGCTTAATGATAAAATAACGCATTCGGTATGGCTCAGTATATATGCAAATCATCATGTCAGTTCAAAGATATCTAAATTTTGCCTAAAAATGGAAAAATTTTGTATGTTGCCAGATATTTTGTATTAAGAAATAATTTTCTTGCTTGAAAGCTCTTATGAAGGTGGAATTTGATTATATTCAGGTAGAAGATCTGCAAGAGACAGTGTATTTCATCGAAGATACAAATTGATCATCTGCATGTAGTATATGATGGTGGTATAATGATTTAGTTAGCAATTGAATGAAGGAAATTCTGGAATATTTTTTTTTGCATCGGATTACTTACATACTTATCACCTGATGAAACATTTCACAACGATCAGTTTGAGTTCATGACGATATGGCGTAGTTTTATTTGACCCGAAGGTTATCAAAAGTATTGATAACATTTGTGTGATGATATATATGATAAATTCAAAGTATTCTCAATCAATTCCCAGTATAAATACTCGGGATATGATTGGAAATAACAAAGTGAACTAAATTCTTCTTTAAGCAGTTACAATTTCGCAGAGATTTTCTCAATCTATACGGTAAACACAATACGGTATCAAATATCATATTGTAGTGTTTCTTTGGTTAAAGTATTGCATAATGACGACATTATTGATCAATTATTCATTCGAACAAATTCTTAAATGATAAAAGCGCCATTTGCATTTGCGATGATAGCAAAAATTATAATTTTCTAAAAAAAAAAAAGTCAATTGAGAAAAAATTGAAGTTATTGAAAGTTTCGTTGAGAAAACACAAAATACTAGAAGTGAAATACATAATTAAGAATGAATTTACTAATAACAATAAATGATTAATTGCAAAGGATGGAAATTTAGAAAATAATCTTTTCAACAAATATTATACTAATACTTATAGAAGCGTAGAAAATGTTATTCAACGTATTACATCTTAATGTGATCTTTCACGTGAATATGCAACTAACGAGTATGTTATATTTTAGAGATTCAAATTCATATATATATATATTTCAGAAAAAAAATTCATTAACTTTATGTCGTTTCTTGTTTTGTAAATTACAGATGGATGAACTTTAAACTTTTGGTCGTGGACAAATTGTCTACAGTATCATTAGCAGCAGATGTTTGGTTACTGCAACTATCTATGATATTTTCAGATAAATCGCTCGTAGCTATTTGTACAACCTCCGTTGTTGATATTGTTGATGACTTGCTGTCTGTTTGATTTTCTTGCTAAAAAAAAGTGATGCTGATAATTTTTTAAAAAAAGTTAATTATTTTAAAATAATAGAAATAATAAATATAAACATTTTTACCATCATTACTTATCATTGTCCTTAAAATTTATTACTATTATTACTATTATTACTGTTACTACTATTATTACTATTATTATTACTAATTATTATTATTATTACTATTATTATTGTTAATTATTATTATTATTATTATTATTATTATTATTATTATTATTATTATTATTATTATTATTATTATTATTATTATTATTATTATTATTATTATTATTATTATTATTATTATTATTATTATTATTATTATTATTATTATTATTATTATTATTATTATTATTATTATTATTA